CTGGTTAGGTCAGCAGGACTCAGACCTCAGGATGAAATTAGGAGTTTGCTGGGGCTTCCATCTCAAGGGATCACAGGAGTAGATACCATGAACTTAGCCCTTCCCACCACCACGCCAGAGCCATGAGCATTGAATTGCTGCTGCTCAGTAGGTACCTGATGGGGACAGGGGGTTCTAAGGACTGTCCAGGTGGACCAAGGCATAGGAGCCATATACCCCCACCCACCAGGGTATGTGTGGCCCCCCAGGGTCCCATTGGCTCCGGACTCATGCAGCTTCATTCTGACTATGGCACGATCATCATAGCCATTTAAAATCATGATCACCGGCAGAGATCTCTCCACAGCTAACCTCCTGGGAAAAGCTGGCAAATAAAGATGGGTCCCTGTGTCCACCATTGCTGCTTGACTTTGCAGAAAAACATTCCCCGAGAGAGGGTATGGAGGGTTCCCGGGGACCCAGGCTGCCCTCCCCCAGCTCAGCCAGGACCTTTCGGGGGGCCTGCGGTATCCTGCCTGTCCCCACTCTGAGCAGGCTGAGCTGGCGACAAGAGACCCAAGCCACATACTTGCAAAGCCAGCCCCCCCCAACCCCCACCCAGAGAACCAGCCACTGTGAGTCCTGTTCCTGGGAAACAGTCCTCCAGCAGACATCTGCTTGTCTTAGGCGATCTGTACACCATAACAGTTTAAAAAAACAGAGTTTAAATGCTTAAATAAGAAGAAAACAGTTTGCCTGCGTTGCCAAACAGCACATAAACTGGGCTGGAATTAGCACGGGGAAACATTTATCTTTCAGAGCATCTCAAAATAAGGCTTCTGTGAGATGGCGTGATTGTGTGGACTGGCAGAGAAAGAAGCTCATGATACAGGGCTAACGGGGGGAAAGCTCGCGACCAAGGCAGAACCTGGCGTACCTGGAGCCACCTGCAGGGGAACGAGCAAGGCCAGCTTCAGGCTGCTGCAGCCACAGTCGCATGTGGCCAGCTGGGCATGCCGGAGCTGCAGGGGAATGAGCCCCAGGCCTAGTCCTGGCGCCACCGACCACACGTCCCGACGGCCTGGCGCAGAGCTGGTGACTCATGCTCAAGAGCAGTTCCCATACCCACACCAGGGAGAAGCTCCTCCGAGCCTGTGCTTGCGTGCCCATCCTGTAGCTGGGGCCACTCTGGGGTGGCAGGCTGTAAATGAGTTCGACCAGCGCCTTAGGTCCTAAGTGGCATCACGTGCTCACTTTCAGTAACCAACAGTGGTACCTGCTAGGCGGTCATAGGGGGCTGGCACTGGAAGCACAGTGAGACCAACCAGACCCATCTCTGTTTCTGGGGACAAAATGGCCACAGATGGACAGTCATGGGAGCCCTGGGGCTGGAGAGGCTTCGGGGGGCTCTCTGGAGCCCAGTCTGAGACTCAGAGTGTGATGTGAAGGAATTCGCCAGGCGCAGTGGGGAGGGGGCCCTGGGGCTGGCAGAGTGGGCCTTGGTGGCCAGCAGGTGACGTAGGACTGAGCCCATTTCTTCCTGGATTTAGGGCTTCGGTCTAAGTTTGTTTGGGTTTTAAAAACTTTCTCATTCAGAAAGCAGAGCTATCGAGAGAGGAGCAGAGACAGAGACATTCCACCCTCTGGCTGACTTGACGGCCAGCCAAGCACTTCCAATCCTCTGTTGCTTTCCCAGGCACAGGAGCAGGAAGCGGGAGCAGAAGTGCAGCAGCTGGGACTCCAAGCGACCCCTGCATGCAATGCTGACGGCCCGGGTGACAGCTTAGCTCACTATGCTACAATGCTAACCTCTGGTCTGAACTTCTGCTTGGAGGAGAAGATTAAGGAGGAGCCTCAGCAGAGAAAACAGCATAGGCAAGTTGGAGCTGGTGAGATGGGGAGGGGTGCAGAAGGCCCACCGGGGCTGCAGTCAGCTTGGTCACGGGCTGCAGCTAAGGAGCTAGGAGGATGCACTGTGGGAAAGAGCTCACTTCACTACCAGTGTCAACATCCTGATATTTAGGGAAAAGGCGAACCAGCCCGGCAGTGATGAACACCAGCAGCAGCTCATGTCCCATGGGTCCCTCCTTGACGGGGAGGGTGCAGGACACTTTCTCTCTTGTGGGAGCGATCCATGCCTCCCTGCTCAGGGCACCTGGGACGGAAGCATGGCTTTTGGAGCTAGCAGACAGTGCACAGAAGTGTGTGAGGACTTGCTATCAGGTGACAGGGAACTGTGGGGCCTGCAGCCACCTGGAGAGGACACTGCAGGGACTGCCCCTTCCAGGGCTGGCAAATCCATGGAGACAGTAAACAACCCAGAGTGCGTTCTTCATACGTGAACCAACCTTCATCAGCCACCTGCCCTGCTCATGCCAGGGTCAGGGACCAGCCCGCCAGGGACAGTCCCTGTGCTCCTGAGCCCACCAAGAGGATTCAAGCAGACCAGTTCACACTGCGCTTGCCCCACCGCTGTCCCGGACAAGCCCCCACATGGGATTCCTGCCTCACACTCTCCTTGCTCTGCCTCCTGCTTGACCCTGGTCCTTCCCCTGGGGGGCCTATGAGGCAGGTGTTTTCTCCTCTTGGGAATGAGGAATCCATGGCCTTGGCAATGGCAGTGGCAGCCAGGACTCCTGACCTCACTACACCTGAATGCGCAGGGAACCACATTTCTAAATGTCTACAGCGGGTGGACGTTGGGGACAGTAGTTGGATGCCACTGGGAGCCCTGGTCTCCTGTAACGGACCCTGGGTTCTGCTCTCAGCTCCATCCCGGAGCACAGGCAGCAGGCTCAAGTTCTCGGGACCCCCACCCACCAGGGAGAACCACACAGATTTCCAACCTCCTAGCTTTGGCCTGGCAGAGCTTTCCCGGGCATTTGGGGAATAGAATAGTGGGTAGAACATCTCTGTTTGCCTCTCTGCTTTAAAGTAAGTAGAAATTCATTTTTAAAAATATGTATAAGCTCCATAGTTGCCTAAGTTCTCCCTACCACTGGCTCCTGGCCAGCCATACAAAGTCTCCAGCTTATCACAGGTAACAATTTACATGGAAGGACAGACAGACGTAGGGATGAAGGCAGGGTTTGGTAGAAGCACTCACTTGGCCACATGGGTTCCCAAGGCTTCAGTCTCACTTATGCAACTGCTCAGGACCCTAGATTCCGGGTAAGGCCTCAGCCCGCCACGCACTGTGACTGGTGTCACTTTGGACAGTCAGGAGGAGGCAGACAGCTGAGATTTAAAATTCTGCAGCTCCTAATGGGGTCTGAGTGTGAAGGCTTTTCTTTCCAAGCTTCTGGCCAACTCTGGCTATTTCTTTGATTCAAAGGCTTATCAGTGCTAGAAGGAGTGAAGTCAAAGAGAGAACCCTTTGGTCATCGGGTCCTGCCCGGGACAGGCTCTCCAAAGGCAACTGGCTGGGTTGCCCTGTACCTCCCCTGTGTTTGCAATGGGACACGGTGGATCTGCACCCCTGTATGTTCCCAACTGGTCAAGTGCAAGTGGAGTTCTAGCACTTGTATTTTTTCACCTTTGCTCTTAAAAGTACATTGAGAACACTGCTTGACAAAGGACCGAACATCTGAGGACGAAGACAAGGTCCTTGGACGCCAGTGTCGCTGCCTCACTCTGGGTCCTATAATGAGGCAGGGAGGGAAGAAGAGGCAGCCGGAGGCCTACATAGGAGCAGCAGCCAAAGGTGGTCTCCTTTACTCGCTGAGGTGCCACTCAGCAGCGAACGCAGCTCCCCAAGCCACTACTCCCCCAGTCCCACGGAGGGAGGGCTGAAGCCCAATGAAGAGACAGGCCATGGGATCCAGGACTCTGTCTGAGGGTGCTGCTGTTGGGGAGGGGCCCTGCAAGTTGCCTACCCAGAAAGTTCCACCCTCTGGTTTGACTGCTAAACTGCAAAGCCGACAGGGGGGACTGGCAAGTCGGCAGGTCCCATCAGGAGAGGCAGCAGTAGCAGTGGAAACCGGTGGCCCTGTTTGCACCAAAAAAAGTTCTGAGTTTAGCAAAGCTTGCTGGGGGGCTCTGGCAGCAGCACCCCACACTTGCATGGCAGAGGCACTTGATGTTAGGGATGCAGCACCCTGGGCTGGCCCAGACACTGGCAGAGCATGCGTAGTCACAGCCTCCTCTCCTGAGAAGGGAAGACAAAAAACTGGCCCTGCTTCTCTCTTGCTGGAAACTCAGCAAAGGGTTAAGCAGCCCAGCAATGGCAGGAGCAGCACAGGAAGGGTCACGGTGGGACTCCAGGAGGCAATGGATGGCAGAAGAGGACTGTCTCCCCCAACGCCCCATCAGTGTCTGGAGCTCCAGGACGATCCCGTGTGTCCCCTTGGCCACGCTGCTGGAGCTCCTGCTTCTGCCAAGGTGAACGGTCTGAGTGGCAGAAAATGTCAGGAGGGCAGGCAGGTCCCGCACCAGCCCACGCACAAGAAAGCAGCACCCTTGGACACACTCACACTCAAGCACCCCCACCCTCACCCCCGAGCCACAGCTGGCGGTGACTTGTGTCTTCTAGAACGTGTTCCCAAGAAGTATGTAACTCAGTGTCTGGCCTGATGTCTCAATTGGCTAATCCTTCACCTGCAAGTGCTGGCATCCCATATAGTTCCCGTTCATGTCCCAACTGCTCCATTTCCCATCCAGCACCCTGTTTGTGGCCTAGGAAACCAGTAGAGGATGGCCCAAAGCTTTGGGATCCTGTGGGAGATGTGGAAAAAGCTCCTGGCTCCTGGCTTTGGATCAACTAATCAGCTCCAACTACTGAGGTCATTTGGGGAGTGAAGCAGTGGATGGAAGAGCTTTTTCTATGTCTCTCCTTCTCTCTACAGATCTGCTTTCCAATACAACTAAAAAAAATGAAGAAGAGGAAGAAGGAAGAGGAGGAGAAGAAATATTTAGCCCAAAAGGCAACTAACAGCCCACGCCAGCAGGCGATAACTTGCCAGGTGGACCTGTGGACACACAGGAGCCCGAACCACAGAGAGGCATGGCATGCACGGACAAGGTCAGAGATGGCCATAGGCTTCACCTGGTGGCCTCACAAGAGATTTAATCAAGCTCTAAAATTGCTCAAAGTGTCCAGTGTTGAAGGAATCTCTGTCTTGTGAACTAAAATGCCAAAGCTATCGGTTTGTTTCGTTAAGGGAAAATTAGCCGTCATGCAAAACTGGTCAAGCAGTTAATAAAATAGGCCTATCCCACAAAAGGGGTTGTACATCCCAGTCCTTGCAAAGAGCAAAGCGATCCTAAACCCCGCACGGTCCGGACAGAGAGGTCCCCAGCATCCTCGGGCCGGCAGCCCCTGGGGGGCTGGGGCCGGGTCAGGTGTTATAGATTCTGGAAGCCCTTTTGGCTGCAGTTTGAGTATCGGGCGGGTCCTCTTCCTCTTCCTCAGTTTGCTTGTGTTTCAAAAACAAGTCCGACTTCAAGAAGCGGCTGTAGCTGTCATATTTCATGAGATTGAAGATCTGAGAAGGAAAAGAAAATGATGCTGAAAGCTGGGGCTAACCCAGGCCATGAATCATCCCAGCCAATATTTATTAAATATCTAGTGTGTGCCAAAGAAGACAGAGACGTAGGGATAAACATTGGGGAAGCTCGAGTGAGCCATGCCAGACAAGAGCTCCTGCACGGCCTTGGTGGATGTGCAACAGCTCAGCGGGACACAGCTCAGGGCCACGGGAGGGGAGAGTCCCACAGCCTTGATGCGCATTCTCAGCGCAGGAGCTCTGCCAGGAGTCTCCACTGCACTTGGAAAAAGATCACAAGGACAGGCTTCTTCAAGGACAGAGGTGGCTGCTGACAACGGCAGGTGATTCAAAAGTTACTGGGTATCAGATGAGGGCAGTGGGATGAAGACCCCCACCCGCCTGACATCTGAGATCTTATACAAGCCTCTAAGATGCCAAGAAGCCAAGCACAGACAGGGCAGCCACAGGAGCATGTCTTGGGGAGGGAGACCTGCAGCTGCTGTGAACACTGGGCGGCTAAGGGGATGGGTGTCAGCTGGGAGAGGGAGCCCAAGGCGGCCTCGGGTCCCCTGGATTCGAAGCTTACATATGCTGGCACCTCAGCGGGTCCCGGGGTTTCCCAAGCACTGACGTCCCCCTTGGCGCCCTCTGGACCTCCTCCAGGCTGGGTCCCTATGCACAGCACCCACTCTGCTCTCACTCCTGCCCCTGCACCTGAAGGCTCCTCTCCTGCCCCACCAGTGGTGACAGAGGAAATGTTTTCGTGCTGGCAAGGGCCAACTCTTCATCTGTCTCTTGGATCTACATTTATTTATTACATTTATTTATTTATTACTACATTTATTTCGGAAGGAGGGCAGCCCTGTGGCATAGCAGGCAAAGCTACTACCTGTAGCACTGACATCCCATATGGACACCAGTTAGAGTCCTGGCTGCTCCACTTCCGATCCAGCTCCCTGCTAGCAGTGGACAACAGCCCAAATGCTTGGGCCCCTGCACCCAAGCTGGAGATCCCGAAGAAACTGGATTCTGGCATCAGACTAATCCAGCCATGGCCATTGTGGCCACTTAAGGAGTAAGCCAGAGGATGGGAGATCTCTCTGTCTCTGTTTATCCCTGCTTGTCTGTCTTAAATAAATAATCAATGAAAAAAAAAATTTAATGTACTTAAAATGATAAAGATAGAAACAGAAAGAGAGATCTTCCATCGGCTGCCTTGCTCCTCAAATGCCCACAACAGCCAGGGCTGGTAAGCCCAGAATTCCCTTCAGGACTCCCACGAGGGTGGCAGAAACCCACGTTCTGGAGCTGGCCCTGCTGCCTCCCCGGGCATCTGTTAGCAGGGAGCTAGAACTGGAGGTAGTGCCGGGACTCCAACCCAGAGACCCAGATCCAGAATGAGCAGGTCACAGGCAGCACCAACACCACCCTGCTCTCAGACCTTTTGACTCAACTCTCAAGAAGATTCGACAGGGCAAACATCCACACCGTGCACCCTGGTGCCTTCCCTTGTGGCATGCACACAAGCTCAACCAAGTGGAATATTCCAGAAGTGTCTGGAATGTTGCTCACTGCCAGGTGGGGCTGTTGAGTGAGTAGCACAATCCTGACATCCTTTAAGCCCACTCCTTCCCAGTGCACTTATGTACAGTAAATTAAGCATTTGATGTTCTAATCATTCAGGACACCTGCTCCAAGCGGGGATGAAGAACCTAGCTGCATGAAGGCACCCAGCGCTGCACCCCCTCCCCGCCAGTTCCACGAGAGATGGCACCCACCACCCGGCCTGAGCAGGATGCGGTGCGGCCAGCAACGTCTGAAACCTAGATGTGTGGGAGAGAACATCCTGTTTGCCTGCTGTGAGTCTGAGCCTCTGACTTCAAAGGAGGGGAGAAAAACGGCGTGAGTGCAGGTCGTCGGGGTGCCAGAGACAGCGGGGAGTGGAGAGGCTGCCTGGGCGTGAGGAATAGGGTGCAGGGAGGACTCAGACACAGACTCTGGCTGCCCCAGGCTCCTCCTTACACCATTTAACACACACCAGGGGCCAGCTCGACAGGAGGGGGCTGTGAACCACCGCACAGGCACACAGGGCCTGCTGTGAGTGAATGCAAAATCTGGAAGGCCCAGGGAGCTACCTCCCCCAGGGGGACAGCTGTGGCCACCAGCCCCCCGCCAATCTGTGGTCCCGATTGGGCAACCCTCCTGAGCTAGGCAGCTTGATGGCTCTTCTGGACTGCAGGCCTCCCACGGCCACTGGTACAGCCCAACAAGGAGTCTATTACAGAGCCGGTATGGGAGCACCTGGCGAAAATGATGGTGCGGTGGCTGGAGAAGAAAACCACATCAAGAAGGTGGTCAGGGACAGTGCAGCGAGCTATGGACCATAGTCCGGGTTTTCAGGGCAAATGGCCATGATGGAGGTCCAATGGAGGCATCCCTAAGATACAGTAGCTGGGGGAACCAACCAGAGTGGGAGCACCCTGCTGGGCACACCTGTCACCACGCCTCTAGCCACACCTCAGGCTGCCTGGGTTCCAGGCCCAGCTCCATGTCCAAATGCAGCTTCCTGCTCATGTGCATGGCAGGGAGGTGGCAGGTAATGGGATCAGGAATTGTGTCCCCGTCACTCACATACAAGACTTGGCTTAAAATGCAGGTTCCTGCTTTGGGCCTGGCTCAGTCCCCAGCATGGCAGCCGTTTGGGGAATGAACCAATAGATGGGAAAATTCTCTCTTTCTTTCTCTCTCTCTCTCTCTGCCACTCTGCCTTTTAAGTAAATAAGTAAGCAAACCTCAGAAACGAATGTGACTTTAATTGGATAGAGGGCTGGTTAAGGGTCCCAAGATGAGATCATTCTACATTTAGGGTGAGCCTAAATCCAAGAACTGGTGTCCTTCGATCAGACAGAGACACACAGAGGAAGTGGCTGGACCAGCAAGAGGCAAAAAGGGTTCTCCCTACAGGCAGCAGGAAGGGGCCAGGCCCTTCAACCCGCGATGTCAGACCCTGGCCTCCTTCACTACCAGGGGCAAGCTCCTGGCAAGCTCCAGGCCCCTTGGGTGGTAGCCATCTGCTGTGACAGCCCAGGGAATGAGCATGCCTGCTTACTGACGTCACCGCACCCCCACTTGCGCTAGCCCCCAGGCATCACAGCAGAGTCCACTGAACCGTGATGTGCTGAACCGGCGAGTGCGGGCCTTGCCACAGTTGGACTGTGACCGCCACCAGACCAGCACTGCCAGAATCCTTGCGAAGTCTGCAGGCAAGGAGAGAAGCAAGCAGGGACAAATCTGCAAGCAGAAGCCTCTGGCTGGGCAGAGGCAGAAGACCTCGGAGCACAGCTAAGCCAGCGATTGGTTTGAGCTGGAAAGCCAAGCAGCCAGAAAGCTCTGGCTCTCAGCTGAGTTTCATGCCTTATTTTTTTCAGCCAACACAGCTGTGGCTTTGCATGGTTTTAAGTTTTGGCAGTCCCTGCCCCTGTGAGCCAGATGCCAGTACTGCAGAGTGTTTCTATCCATTACTGCCTTATCTATCCTACAGCCAGGCTGGTTCGGGGGCCGAAAGACAATGGGAAAAGTAGAGGCCCCAACCGTACTGCCCAGGCAATAACAGAATTCTGGGTACTGTGCAGGCTGTACGGACAAGGCACTTGCTCTGGAGGTGACGACCACCAACCCCTCCCGCTACAGCACACAGCAGGTGCACCAGGAAACCTGAGAGCAATCCATAGACAGCACGTGCTTGCCCCAAAGCCACATGGAAGGTTCTGCCCCATGGATGACATTCCCATCCTGCAGATTCGCTTGCCTGAGATGGGAGGCAGGCCAGGGCTGGGATTGGAATTTCAAAAGCAGCCTGGATGGAGGGAGAGTGAGCCACTTTCTCATGAAATCCAAGGCAAAGCCCCAACAGCACGGTGTTTCCCACCTGCAGGGAGGCTGTTCTGCTTTGCTTCTGCCATCAAAGTGAAGGTCAAGGATTCAGTGGCCCTAAGAAGCCCCCAGAGTGTTTCCAACTTGATCCTTTATGCCCTGTCCTCCAAAGCAACAGGAGCCAGCCTTCCGTCCACTTACAAGCCAAACCTCAACCTGCCCTTCTGGCTTGTGCATGCTGGGAAATGCTGAATTCTAGGCTGGGTTTGGTCTCTAGCAAAGAGTATCAGCTGACACCCACAACAGGGTGACACCCTGAATTCCAGGCACTGGCTTCCTCCCCAGCCTGAGCAAGTCAGCTGCTCAGAGTGGGCTCAGGCCGGGCTGAGGTCCCAGTTGGAGAAATGGTGAGAGCAAGCGGAATCCCCAGCCCTGCTCCCTGGGTGAGGCAGGTCCTCCCAGCTCAGCCTACCCCTCAGATTCAACTCCCAAAAAGGAAACGCCTCTTGCTTCTGGGGTTCTGCGGAAATTCAAAGAAACTGCAACTTCAAAAGGGGCCCAGCTCAAGGTTCCTTTTTCTGCAAAGGTGTGTCTGGGAACCCCAACACCTCAGTGAGCACCAGCCAAGCATCCAGGCAAGGATGCCGCCTGCACTCTGCCTTCCCCAGGCCCCCCACCTCCCAGTCTGAGAATGCAGTGCCCACCGGAGCCTGCTGAGGGTGTCTGGGCAGCCATGAAATCTTTTCTTAAGGTGTAAGCATTGAAGCTCCTAAAATTAATGGAAGATGAGCACCCCACTCTGAACCGCTATGTCTGTTGCATGCATGCAGAAAGCCAGGATCTGCGGCAGCTGCTTGCAAAGGCCTTGCCCCCACCTCTCTCACCACTCGCTGCTCATGTGTCAATCAGTGTTCCTGAACCCACTGGAGCAGGACCCCTGTGTTAAATCTTTCCTACAGGCCTATATTGTTAATGCCACTGCTTGCAACACCGACATCCCACAGCGGAGCACTGACTCAGGCCTTAGCCGCTCTGCTTTTAACCCAGCTCCCTGCCAGTGCACCTCAGAAAGCAGTGGATGGGGAGAGGGGATTGCACCATGGTGTTCAGGATAAGCCTCTATCTGCTGCACCGGCATCCCCTATGGGTTCCAGTTCATGACCCATCTGCTCCACTTCTGATCCAGCTCTCTACTAATGTGCCTGGGAAAAGAGTGGTAGATAGTCTAAGTCTTCACTCCCCTGAAGACACGTGGGAGACCCAGAGGAAACTCCTAGATCTTGGCTTCAGCCTGCCCCTGCCCCAGCCTTTATGGCTATTTGGGGAACAAACTAATGAACTGAAAATCTCTGTTTCTCTCTATTTTTATCTGTCACTCCAATCTTTCAAATAAATATAATAAATCTTTCCTCTAGCACAGCCCACATCATGAGTACACTTTTAAGTGTTCTGTTCTTTTTTTAACATCGGGATCCCATATAGATGCTGGCTCATGTCCCAGCTGCTCTACTTCCCATCCAGCTCCCTGCCTGTGGCCTGGGAAAGCAATCGAGGATGGCCCAAAGCCTTGGGACCCTGCACCCACATGAGAGATTTGAAAGAAGTTCCTGGCTCCTAGCTCCTGATCGGCTCAGCTCCAACCACTGCAGCCACTTGGGAATGAACTAGCCGACAAACCTTCCTCTCTATCTCTCCTTTTCTCTGTAAATCTGCCTTTCCAATGACAAAAACATAAAAAAGAAAGGAAGAAAGGTACAGGACAGAGCAAGAGAGAGAACCACCTGCTGGGTCACTCCCCAACAAGGCTCAACATCCAGGGTTGGGCCAGGCCAACACCTTGAGCTAGGAACTCCATCTGGGTTTCCCATGTGAGTACAGGTGCCCAAGTACTTGAGCCGGCTTCTGCCGCCTTCCCAGCCCATTAATAGGGAACCTGATGGGGAGCAAACCACCTGGGACTCAAACCCACACTCCGCTATGGGACATCTGTGTCGCAGGTGACGGCTTAACCCCCTGGACCACAACACCATGCCCCAGTCCTGTGTTTCTACATCTTCCCAGTAATGTAAGATCAAGATCAAGCCAATCAATTTCACACTAAGGAGAAGGCATAAAGGTTAGGCCTAAGGGACTCTAATTTTACACTTCACACCTTCTGAACCACATAAATTTTATCATGAATGTGTACTAATTTGTCACAAACCATTTTAGGGTGGGTTTTTGGTACATTGGCTAAGACATCATTTGGGACGCCCACTGGGATGTCCACACCCCATATCAGAATGCTAATGAGCACCCCAAGAGGCAGCGAGTGATGGCTCAAGTAGATGGGTCTACTTGACCCAAGTGGCAGACCTGCATTGAGTTCCAGGGTCCCAGCATTGGCTTGGCCCAGTCCTGGCTTTCGTAGGCATCTGGGGAGTGAACCAACAGGTAGAAGACATGGGGACAATGGGAGAGTGGGGAAGAGCAAGCTGAATAAGAGTTCTGCACTTTCGTTCTGTTCCCAGTCTACACAACCTTGGGCTGATCATGGTGCCCTCCTGTGACCTCGGGCTGGCCATGCCCTCACCTGCAGTCAGTCTTCTCATATGTATACCAAGGTACCAAGTCCCACCTTCCTTGCCATACGTCCTACTGTCCTGCTAGGTGGACAGGGCCTGATTGCCTCACTGCACACACTGAGACTGGCCATCCATAAATACCGGCGGCATGAAAGAATGAATGGAAAAAACATCCACAGACCAGCAAGCCAACCAGAACCAAAACACATCTCCCAGAAGTGGGCTTTAAAAGGAAAATTGTGAGGGCCCAGCACAGTGGCTCAACTGACTAATCTTTCCCCTTCAAGTGCTGGAATCACATATAGGTGTTGGTTGGTGTCCTGGGTGCTCCATTTCCCATCCAGCTCCCTGCTTGTGGCCTGGGAGAGCAGAAGAGGATGGCCCAAGGCCTTGAGACCCTACATCCCCATGTGAGAACCAGAAGAAGCTCCTGGCTCCTGGCTTCAGTGAACCAGCGAGTGGGAGATTTTTCTCTCTGTAAATCTACCTTTCCAATGAATATAAATTAATTCATTTTTTTAAAAAAGGAAAATTGTGTAAAATGACACTGCCTGCAGAGAATGGCAATTCACCAGAGAAACCAGCACTTTGCAAGCTGGCCGCCTACCTGCCTTCCAGATCCGTACACTTTCTGATTATCTGCAGCAGCCTCTGCTTCTGGCCAGCACAGTGCTTGCTGGACACACAACCAGGTCAGGCATGCAGAACTGGAGGATGTCAGAGAACGGCCTCTTTCCTTACAAGAATTTTCCAGATAACAAAGAGCTAAGCCCCCAGATCTCTTTGAAGTCGTCCTGTATGACATGCTTATAACAACCTGGCACCTCCATTATCATAGTGCAGGTGTGAGGTCACCAGGCTCACTGCTCACACAACCGCCCTTCAGCTCAGGCATGTCCACTGTGCCACATGTCTGTGGCCCCGTCAGAGTCACCTGGTTCTATGCCCAGCTCTGGTTCCTGACTCCAGCTTCCTGCTCACAGACCCGGGAAACTTGGTGATCGAGTCCTGCCACTCACATAGGAGACCCGGCCTGAGTTCCTGGCTCCCAGCTTTAGCCACTGTGGACACCGGTAAGACTGAGTGGAGAGGAGCTCTCTTTTGAACAAGTAATCGATATGGTGCATGGATATCAGCCAACCAATCAAGCCCAAGAAGGACAGCCCCACCCTCTGGATTCCAGCTGGACCCCCAAAGCCAAAGCCGCCCATCAGCCCCTCTGGAGAGGCAGAGCCCTGCCCCTGCCACAGGAAGCCCACTCTGTGAGCGCAGAGGGCACAGAAGGCAGCCCAGAGGCAGCTTTCCGAGGTTAGGACAACTGTGGCCACCAGCTGCACCCCCCTCAGTTGTACATCCCCTGACTCAGGGGACCAGGGCACAGGTGGGAACTGGGAGCCACATTTTCACAGTTACCAACCATGCCCTGGACAGGCAGCATTTTCCACACTGAATTAGAACCCATGGACCGGCTTGGAGTCTCAACATCTGGGTTGGCTAAGCTATGCCATAACACCCACTGGCAAGTGCCAGGACTGGGCCCAAGTTATGCCAGGTTGGACCACAGTACCCCTGGCAAGTGCCATGAGCCAGGGCTAAGAGCAGACCTGGTAGCAAAACTGTGGGCACCACTCTGTTATGCTGCAGCTCCCACTGGTGAGCATGAGAGCCAGGGTTGATGGTGGGCTGGGCTGGGTAAGGTGCATCTCTGAGGTCCCTTGTGGGGCAGACACCCCCACATGACTAAGGCCACAAGAGCTGCCTTTCCAACGCACTGGTACTTCCATTTCAAGTCCACATCGACCGTGTCCCTGACCTTGGCTCAACAGCGATACCTCTAGGAGGCCCGGGAGCTAAAGCTGCTTCGACACCCCCCATCTCATTCCAGAATCTGCACTCGCCATTGTGCTCACTGGAAAACATTTTCAAATCCCTTCCTATGTTTGCATTTCTTTTCCAGTGCTGAGGTCTCTTGGCTGCTGGGACACATATCCGGGGATCGGAGGCGACCAAGCAGCAGCCAGTGAGTGTGTGCAGCATGGCCTGGGGAATCTCAGATGCAAGTGGGTCACTCTGGGGCCGGGCCCCACCACCTGCTTTATCAGGTTCTGTGGATGCCTGGGGCTGCCTGCCTGAGTTTGGCGACCTGTTGAAACGGACGCAGAAGCCCTGCCTGATCTGTAAATAGACGTCTAGAACATCCCTTCCCTTTTACGCGCCAGAAAGTTACTGCCCACCCTTCTGGGTCCATCTATTAGTGTTGTGGCATAGCCAGTAAAGCTGCCACCTGTGACACCAGTATCCCATAAGGACACTGGTTCAATTTTTAGCTGCTCCACTTCTAACCCTGCTCCCTACTAATAGGCCTGGAAAAGCAGAGGAGGATGCCCCCATGTGCTTGGGTCCCTGGACTCACATGAGAGACCCAGAAGAAACTCCTGGCTCCTAGCTTCAGTACAGCCCAGCTCTGCCTGTTGTGGCCGTCTAGGGGGAGTGAACCAAGGATGGAAGTGGATGGAAGATCTTTCTCTTTCCGTCTCTCTCTTCCTAACTCTGAGTTTCAAATAAACCAATACATTTTTTTTTTTATTGGAAAGGCGGATATACAGAGAGGAGAGACAGAGAGGAAGATTTTCCATCCGATGATTCACTCCCCAAGCGGCCGCAACAGCTGGAGCTGAGTCAATCTGAAGCCAGGAGCCTCTTCCGGGTCTCCTACGCAGGTGCAGGGTCCCAAAGATTTGGGCCGTCCTCGACTGCTTTCCCAGGCCACAGGCAGGGAGCTGGATGGGAAGCGGGGCTGCCGGGATTAGAACCAGAGCCCATATGGGTTCCCAGGCATGCAAGGCGAGGACCTTAACCACTACACCATTGCGCCGGGCCCCAATACATCTTTTAAAACAACAACAAAACACCTGATTTCTCCTGCAACGAGCAGCGCTGTGTGCTGCCCACTGGTGCTCACACTCCCGTTCTGACGCAGGGAGCATGGCATGACGCAGTCAACAGTCAACAATGTTGGGCCAGCAGAAGCAGGTGGAGGCGTCTGGGTCCTGCCCAGCAGCAGCCCAGGTTCCTGTCCCTGGGAGCCTCTGAGTGTGCATCCCGGGCTTTCCCAGTTAGCACACACAGGCTGCTTCCCCGCACTGGTTCCTCAGAGAGCCCCCAGGCACCCTCTGCTCGGTGTGGAAGCCCGGAAGCTGCTGGTTCACACTGTGCACAGGGGGTGGGCGATTCTGGCAGGTCAAGTCCTGCCCTGGGGGGGACGGAGACTGAGTTCCCTTCCTGGAGCACCATGACCCTGGGTGTGCCGGATAACTGCAGGCTCTCTGGGAAGTCATACCTGGTCCTGAAGTTTCTGGAACATCAGCGGGTGTGGTTCTTCCAGGATCTTCTCGTTGAGCCGAGACTGGCCCTCCACGTTGACCTGTGACGAGGCCTTACTGGACAGGAAGGTCACGTAGATCTCCTTTGCCTTTTCTTGCATCTGCAGGAGATGGGGGGACGGGCTGTTATCTCCAAGCACAGCCCTTCCTGACCCGAGCCCAGCTCCACCCCCATCCACACCCCAGCCAAGTGCAGACAGTGTCACAGTAAGAGAAGAAACGGCCGCCCTGCCTGCAGCCACTGCACAGCCCGACTCCACCTGGGAGGGCGGCCAGCAGCCTCATCCTTCCTTCCTCTCTTCCAAGGGTCTGTAGCTGCTTGTCCAGGCAGACACTTGCTACACTCACTGCTTGGAAATGATGACAAGCCATCCCGTGACTCTTCCAAAGCAAGAAGTCATGGGAATATTATGCAGCCATGAAAGGAGTGAAGGTGTGAGCCCAGCTACTGCCTGCCTGCATCCTGGAAGCAATTTGTTACGTGGAAGAAGTCCTAGGGCCGGCCGATTCAAGTTCTGGCTCCTGTACTTGTGCTAATGTGCCTGGGAAACCATGGCTCCTGGCTTCAGACTGGCCCAGGCCTGGCCATCGGGGGTTATCAACAGACGGAAGTTCTCCCTCTTTCTGTCATTCTGCCTTTTGAAAAAACTAAATCTTAAACAAAACAAAACAAAACAAAAACACAGGCTGTAAGAAGCCCAGCCCAGCACGAAGGCCAGGGCGTGCGATTTCATTCCTTCCAGAACAGGACAAATCCACAGGCAGGGAGCTTGGCTGTGGCTGCCAGGGGTTGGGGCACAGACGTGAGGTTCCACGTGCAGAGACTGGGGTTCCACGTGCAGGATGACACCAAGTCCTGGCAGCAACAGTGACAGTGGCTGTCCAGCACCATGACTGCACTCCACATGGCTGAACGGGCATCCTGAGGGCCCACGATGGCTCAAACGGTCAATTCTGTGTCACATGCATTTTGCACAATTTTGCAAAACAAGTTCATTAGGGCCTGGCACAATAGCCTAGTACCTAAAATCCTAGCTTTGCATGCACCAGGATCCCATATGGGCATTGATTCATGCTCCGGCTGCTCTACTTCCCATCCAACTCCCCGCTTGTGGTCTGGGAAAGCAGTGAACAATGGCCAAAAGCCTTGGGATCCTGCACCCATGTGGGAGACCCGGAAGAAGCTCTGGGCTCCTGGCTTCGAATTGGTTCAGCTCCAGTCATTGTGGCCCACTTAGGGAGTGAACCAGCAGATGGAAGCTCTTTCTGTCTCTCTGTAAATCTGCTTTTCCAATAAAAAATAAATGAATCTTTTTTAAAAAATCAAGTTCAGCGATGCACACTTATCCCTACAGTCATAAACACCATTATGTTTCAGCAGGCGCTCTGTGTGGCTCCCTCCCCCTGATGACGCCCCAGGGCCGGAACAGGTGGAGTGGCCGAGGAACCTCCAGGGGCCATCTCAGGTCTGTCTGCCTGCCCAGCCTCCTGGGCTGTGCAGTTTGCCAGCCTGCCAGGGCAGGGATTCCTTCTTCCCAGGAATGAGGTACTGAGGGTGAGCCCTGGGGAGCACCTGCTGCCTGCTTGAATTCCCAGATGCACAGGTGCCTACATCCTGGTCCCTTGGCAGGACCACCCAGCTGGCTACCTCAAATGTCTCTACAGCAGAGCCACTGTCACTGGCCCATCTGCACTCCTGCTTCTCGCAGAGCCAGCAGTGCCAGCCCAGGCCCACGTGCTGACAGATAGGGCAGGCCAGGGCAGCCGGCAGGTGACAGAATCATAGGGCCTTCTCCTTCAGGACTTCCCCTGCAAGTTTTTTCTTTCAGAAAAAAAAGGAGACTTTCTGAGCAAGAGCCCCCAGGGCGGGCAGAACTGGGGCTGTGGCTCCCAACGCGTCACCCCACCCTGAAGTCAGCAGAGACCACGAGGCTATGCGGGAGGCGGGGGGAGGGAGCAGGGGGAGGGCTCTGGGAAGCTGCCTTTCTCCAGCACCCACCTGGGGCCTCCAGCACGCTGCAGGAGCCGGGCTTGGGGAAGCCACTAGAAAGCTCAGTAACTGGGGTTCTGGGTCAGGAGGCCGCAGTGACTATCCAGCTCCACCGCCCCATAAGGACGGCTTCTCGTGCTTGCAGGCAGCTAACCAGGGGCAACTGAACCCCCAAAGCCAGGGGGCCTGGTCCTCCGTGACAGTCAGCAAACCCACGCCGGCCTCAGGGGGCCTTTGGAGGCAGACTCGGTGGTTCCAGACCAGGCAGAGCAGCACTGGGGAACGAATGTCTGGCTTTGCAAAGAGCAACGGTTCTCCCCACCCCCCACCCGACCTCCCATCCCCATTCTGTCAGGAAGGAATATTTTTGGAAAAACCACTTCCTGTTTGAAAGTTACTTCATAAACGTCCAATGTCAGTCGCTCAGAGGAATGAACACCACGCAGGTCTCCGGGGGCAGCGAGCACTCCACCCTCCACTCACCTACCCACTTCCGCTGGGTCCAGGGGCCAGGGTGCACAGGTGCACAGGAGTGCTCCCTGCTCCAAATGTGATAAGACTGGGGAGGCTCAAGGTGGGGGTGGGAGAGGACCAGAGCTGCAGGTCTCCAAGCCCTGGACACTCTGGGTTCCTACCTCTCCCACCGGCCGGCCGCCCCCTCCTGAGCAGAAGGTGGTGCCCAGGGCAGGGTGACAGAGCATGCGTCCATGACTACAGCTGCACAGGCTTATCTCGGTGGGACTAGGAAGCGTGACAGAAAAGGGAAACCCTGAGACTGGCGACCGCAGGCCAGTCACGGGGAGGCCTGCTGCCGGGTCGAGAACGCTGGACAGGAAACAAAAACCAGGCTGTGCTGTTATTCTGGTAGATTGTTCCAGAGCTGTTAACCCTAGTGTAGCCATCAGGAGCATACTCACGGAAGTCACCCACTGGTGGATGGGGGAAGAGCAGGTGGCTTCTTCCTCACCCTGCAGGTGCACCTGCCACAGCACAAACCACACATGTCCCGGGGCCGTCCCCACCCCCGCCACTGCGCAGAAGGGCCTGTCTGTCTCTGACAGGCTTCCTGGCTCATGCCCATGGGACTGTCCTTTCCTACCGCCCCTGTGCCCAGGCCTGGCAAAGCTTTGGCTGTGGGCCAGGGCTCAAGCGGGAGTCAGCACCTGGAGCCTGCTGCCCAGGAACGCACGTCTCGTCTCTTGCACTGGGTGCCCTCTGCCAGCAGCCCCAGGAAGCCCACCTGCAGGGGTGCAGCTGTGGGCTGCCCAGAGCCCCAAGGGGCATTGCTGGGTACACTGGCTCTTCTCCCTCATCAAGGGAAGCACTTGAACTGCCCCCAGTGAACAAAAGCCAAGAAACCGCCTGGATGTCACATCTCAGAGCAGGTGCCCACATTTCCACTTCCTTCCCCCTTCACTGATGTGCTCCAGGGACTCCCCTTGGCGGGGGGCTCTGCCCACCATTCACTACGCTACCTCGTCCCCTCAGGCTTGGGAGAGTCTGGTTCTCTCTGTAACTGCCAACGCCTTCCAGCTCCCGACACAGTCCACCCCCAGTCCCTTCCTGTTCCAGCCACCTGTGACCTGAAGGCTCAGCACAACCCTTCCCCAAGCAGCTGGCCAAGAGGCCAACGTGGATGTTTTTTAGAGACAAAATTTCAGCTTCTTGATTCCCTCCTCAAACACTTGGAATGCTCAAGCCTGGAGCCTGGGAAGCAGGGCAGCTCTCCCACCTGGGTAGCTGGGAGCCAATTATCTGATCCGCCCTCCCTCCCCCAGGATCTGTATCACCAGGAAACTCGAATCGCACCCAGGCACCTGATGCAGTTCACAAGTGTGTAAGCTGTTAAGACAACCGAGTCTACCAGTGTGGACACTGATGGTCCAGACACCTTGAGCTCACCCCAAAGGGAAGGAGCAGATTCTCCTGGCCTGCAGGTCCTGCAGTCTCCACCCCCAACAGCTGCAAAAGGGGATCCCCTTCAACGCCTCCTCACCCCACATCCTGTCACCAGATTCTACCCCCATCAGCCCACCCCCTCCCCACTGCTGTCAGTCTGCCAGAGATGGGCCAGGGGGCAGAGAATGCGTGAGACAATGAAAGGACCCCTGTCTGCTCTAGAAAGGGAACGAGGCAGAGAAAATACCTAGGACCCCAGGACACTTCTGAGAACTGGCTCAGGAAATGGAAAGCAGCTGGAAGGGAACAGGTGACACTGCAGACAGCAAGAACAGAGCTGGGCCCTTGCAGGGCTGGGGAGGAGTATAGAGCAGCGGAATCACACCTCAGTGTGCCAGGCGCCCTGCAGTGAGGGGTAACCCAGATGCCAGGGTCCTAAAAGGCAGCCAGAAGGAGCTAGTGAGCCCCAGGTTCCCAGCCCCCACCTTACACGTGTGCATCCTGGAGACTCCACCCCGACTCAGGGGAACTGCAGGATAAAGGCCCGATGGGGAGGCAAGGAAGACAGAGAAGGGCAGAGAAGGGTGCTAGAGGGAAATCCAGGAGGCGGAGCCCAACCAGCTCCTCCCAGGCCACCCAACAGCCTCTGTGCACTCACAGGAGTGTGCGGTCCACAGGCAAGCGAAGACAGCAGCAGGAACAGAGTAAAGGGTGAACTGCCCAGGAGCAGGGACCACAAGGCCAAGAGGCTTGATCCAGGGCCACGGGACATCCCTGGGAGGCACGTGGAAGGAGGGAAGCCACTGAGCTAACTCAGAGCACATTTCCCAGACCGTGCGTGTCCAGGTTACAGGGGCCTACAGGCAGCTCAGGGGCAAGCAGCACCACCACACGGCTTAGGACACAGCGATGAAAAGAAGGCCCTAGTCCAGCCAGAGCGGAGCAAGCAAGCGAGAACAAAGTTTACATACAAATACACTCAACAAGAGAATCTCCAAAAACCCGAGTGTCAATCTAGAACTTATAAGGTTATCAGAGACGTGGGAAGGTGGGGGAGCACATTTTGACTCTGCGGCTTTCACATGCCTACCTGCCAGGATCCCTGTCTCAGGCGGCTAACAGGCTAAACATCCCCCACCAGAAAATCCAAAACCCAAAATGATTTTCCTGCTGACACGATGCCACCAGTAGAAAATTTCATGCCATGAAATT